TGCTCCGCATCTCCTTGGTCTGCTGGTCAGACCAGGGAGACGGGGAGCAAAGCTGCGGAGGACGCCTGCAGCAGGACAGCCCAGGCGCGCCGTGGCTGTCCCACTGCGGGCGTGCTCCGAGGCTTTGCTCCCCATCTCCCTGGTCTGCTGGTCGGGAGACGGGGCGCAAAGCCGCGGAGCACGCCCGCAGGTGGACAGCTCAAGCGCGCCCGGGCTAACCCGCTGCGGGCGTGCTCCAAGGCTTTGCTCCCTGTCTCCCTGCAGAGCAGGGAGACGGGGAGCAGCTTTTCTCGCCCCGGAGGATGGGGGCGGCGGATCGCAGCGCATCTGGGTGTCCCGCTGCTCCCGTCCTCCGGGGCGAGAAAAGCCCTGTTCGTAACTGCGGATCCGACATAAGTCGGATCCGCGTAACTCGGGGACTGCCTGTACACACTGAATGAGCAAGGAGAGGGGCAGATGAAAGCTCTCTGACAATCAATCAGGAAGGATCCTAGCCTGATGACCTTCCTCGCATAGACAGCCAGTGCGAACAGATTGAAATGGAGTGAGATTTGGACTGTGTTTGGGGCAGAAAAGTCATGAGCCTGGTCATTTTCCCAGATGGCAGCCTAAGAGTGTTGCTTTGGAACCAGTGCAGAAAAGGAACTGCTCATTGACTCACAGGCAGGGAACTGACTCTGAGGGGAATTCTCTCCCCTCCCCCCCAAAAAAGGCCACTTTTTTTCAAAAAACAAACAAACCATGTAGTCAAGACATACCCTAAATAGCTAGACAAGGTGAAACGGAGATGGATGCAACGACTGTGCCCCAGTCTACTATAAGAAACGTCCCAGATGGTGGTTGCCTTACTAAAAGTAGTTTCCAAGTACATCTATTTCTGTGCCCTTCATTCTTGTGGTTTTACTTTTTTTTTTTAATTTTAGGATATGTTCTCATCTCTGTGGCACAGAAGACCCATTGGGAGAGGTGCATGAAACTGATCAAACACTAAGTGCTGAGGAAGGTAATAAACAAACCAAACCAATTACTGTAATAACAGTGAGCAGTGCTATGTGGCATGTTAAAGACTAAGGTTTATTTGGGCATAAGTTTTGTGGTTAAAAATCACTTTGTCGGATACATTTTTTTCCCCCATAAAAGGTTAGTCTTTAAGGTGCCACAAAAGTTCTTGTTGTTTTTGCAGATAAAGATTAATATGGCTACCCTCTGAGATTCGTGATAAGTGTACAAAATATTACAGACAGAAGTGACATTAAGATGACGGCCTTTTAAGACTACCGAAATACTCCATGTTAAAAAGTAACTAAAATTGTCCTTTTAAAAAATGTATATTTGGCTCATATGTAATCTTCAATGATAAGGAAGTGCTTTGCTGTGTTGGGGGGCGGAGAGATGAGGGATTTTAATGGACCCATAACCCCACACAAAAACCATCAATGTTTTGCATATCCAGGATGGAACAGATTTTCTATGTGCATTATCTGAAAAGATGATTCATCAGGTCCCTCTGTTGACACATCTGAAAGTTCCAGTGTCATGAAAGATTAATTTAGTCTCTACATGAGTCAAGGAATTATTTGTCTGTAAAATAAATATGCCTTTAATCAGCAGACTCTGGCTCTCAATTTGCTTATGCTGACTTAACATAACGGACAAATGTTATTCACGTTGTTTAATACACTACTGGAAGGCACTCAGATACTATTGTAATAAGTATTGTATAAGAATCTACATAGAAGAAAATTAAATGTAACATTCAAATAACCAATTTTGAATAGGCCAGTGATGAATATCTTAACTTGGTTCTCAGTGATCTACATAATCTCCTAGAAAGTCATTGAGTGAATCAACAAAACAAAAAACTTTATGATTCAGTTTGCTCTGTGTGGTTGCTATCTTCTCATCCTGGTGTTGGTCCTCAATGAACTGGACTGACACACACTGGAAGGGTCAACGAGCACTAACCTGATCATGAAAATTCAGACTGCTAATCAATAGTCTATAAATAACGATAGCTATTTAGATATGACTCTTTAGGCTACAACAGGAAGAAACTGAGTAGACAGCTCTGATAATCTACTTAACAATGGACATTTATAAATGTAATTAAACTGATTTCCCAGCTCCTCTAGAACAAAGACACCGAATAGTCTGGGAGCAATTCAAGGGCATGCTTGTAACAGCAAAGTAAGGAAGGAGTCTACTGACTAGTAAAAATACACAGAATCAGAATTTAAATGATGTCACTCTCTGTGACATGGCGGGGAGGCTTGCTGTCCATCCATCTACCTCCCAACTTAAAGTATTCTGCTGGTAGAAATTTTGATAAAATGTCACCAAGAAATGGGTTGAAAGGATATTCAAAAGCCCTTTCATCCCTAAACACAATGGTATCAAACAATAAACCTGGAACAAATTATATACATAAGAATTTTTTTTTTTTTAAAATCAGCTTTTTAAATTATAAATTAACACATGCATGTCAAATATGCTATCCTCACAAAGTTACCTTATGGCCCTTTATTAACAGTACTGTCTTATTAGTTAACACTAAGGATAGGGTACCCGATCAACTTGACTCACTCCTTTCATTTATAATCATTTGTAACATTCAAAGAGTTAATTTTCCACCATCAACGTAAAAGCAGCAGTTCAATAATATTGATTATCAGCTTTATTTATTATGAGATTTCACTGCAATACGCTCTCATATTAAACATAAAATTAACATGTTGTTTAAAACAACCATACCTGCCATTCCTTTAGCTTCTGGTCATGCTTATCAGTACGTCCTTCCTCATTATCAATACTGACTTTGATTGGTTTCATTTCTTTTTCAGTTTCATTCACCTAAAATGTTAAAAAATGTCAAGTATTTATCACATCATTCAAGATAGTTTGAAGATAAATTAATTTAAGTGAACTTTAGTTCAAGAAAGATATTCTAACAAGAAATTTACCACTGCCCAAGCCATTTTGTGTTTCAAATCCTCTAGATTGTTTTGCATTTCACTCACGAACGCAATACTTTTGTAACGTTCCTCTTTCTCGACTAAGTCCTGCCTACGTTCTTGAAGAAGCTAAAAAAAAGGAAAAGATTCAAATGTTAAGGGTATATGAAGAACTACTGTTCTAATTTGGAATTTTAGAAGGATAATTTTTAAAAATTTAAATTGACTCAGAATAATCAATTTAAGAAATCCAGTTAAATCATGTGACAAGTTGATAGTTAATTTACGCTGCAACTGCATTTCAGAATGAGTAATATCTGTATTTCTTATATTATTTCAGTGCCCTTGAGTGTAGTAACTGCAATCTTTACATACCCCTACTCCTTGTTCTATCTGGTCATGAGTTCTTGACTTAGTTTCCATAATGTATGAATAATCAGTTTTCATCTGCTCCAACTGGGTTGCTTTCATAAAGAACTAAAACCAAAGAAGAGAGAGATACAAATTTCTGCTTTGTAAGACTGTGTAAAGTGTATGTACGTATTTTTTTTTAATTTGTTAAAACATGCACCCATACAATATTCTGATCATCCTGAACAGTAAGCATTAAAATATTGCATTAAACACCACAGACCACATCAAATCATAAAACCCTGCAATAGCACAACAAATAAAATAACTATAAAAAGAAACTAACCTCCCTATACTGTCTCCATAGCCCCACAGCATCATTACACAGACCTACCATAGCCATCTCATCACAGGACCGGAAGTAAAAGTAAGCTTTGCAATAGTTCTGGAGACGGTCAAATTCAGACTAACTCTTTTTCAAAAAAAATTTCAAATGCCACTTGTAAATTCTTTATACAAATTTAAAACAAACATACTTAAATCATATTTTTCTAACTATAATGCTGCTTTCCCTCAATTGCATGCAACAATTTCACAAGTTTTAAAAACTAAAAATTACAACAGGAACTGTATTCTGCAACATTTTATCCAAATGCCATAGATCCTGCTTAACTTACCTTGTATTTGTCACCTTCATTTTTAGACTGTAAGAAGTGCTTGCTCATTTCTTGCGTTAAAACAGACACAGGATTATCCACCTATAACAGCAAATAATTTATAAACAAAATAAGTATTTTAAACTCAGTTAATATTAATGAAAGCACATCAACAGAAAAGGGAAATGAAGTCTCTATTTTTCCTAGATTCCTTTGATAAATGCATTAGGTCATGATCTAGATGAGCCACATCAAAGGAGAAAAAAGAGTTCAGTCTTCTTGGTCATTAAATCATTAATTAATAGCACAGTCTTCTAAAGGCAGCACACACTAAGGTAAAAGAGTAGTACCACTGTGGCAAGAAGGGTTTAAGACATGAACACTGGGTTACTAAGAAATGAAATGAAGGTAAAAATGTACGTGTGAAGAGGTGGTGTTAGATATATGGTTTGGTATAATTAAATAGACTATACTAAACAGCTATGGAGTGTCATGATTTATCCAGAATTCTATATGAGAGAAGTAGAGATAAGACTACACTTTCAGGTCCATGACTCATACAACACATCCCCAAAATTATTCTTGGCATGGAAATTCCAATAAAATCAGTACAAAATTTATTATGTTAAGTTTAAGGCTGCTAATTAACTGCAGTTAATGCATGCAATTAATTCAAATTAATTGTGATTTAAAAATTAATTACAATTAATCACAGTTTTAATTGTACTGTTAAACAGGATACCAAATTAAATTTATGAAATATTTTTGCGTGTTTTTCTACATTTTCCAGTATATTGATTTCAGTTACAATAAAGAATGTAAAGTGTATGGTGCTCACTTTATTATTTTTATAACAAATATCTGCACTGTAAAACAAAATAAACCGTATTTTTCAGTTTGCCTTTTACAAGTACCATGATGCAATCACTTTATCATGAAAGCGAAACTTACACATGTAGAATTTTTGTTACATAACTGTACTCAAAAACAAAACAATGCAAAACTTTAGAAACCACAAGTCCTCTGAGTCCTACTTCCTATTCAGCCAATCATTAAGACAAACAAGTTTGTTATATTTACAAGAGATAATGCTTCCAGAATCTTATTTACAATGCCACCTGAAGGCGAGAACAGCGGTTTGCATGGCACGTTCATAGCCACCATTGCAAGGTATTTTTGTTCTAATACATTAAACGTTCAGATACAGAGGTAGTAGTGCTGAGGTGCAGGCGGGAGCAGGTACATGCAGGGAGTCAGCTTAAAAGCCAGAACTCCCCGCGCATCAGCTCCTACATAGCTGCCCCCATGTGTAAATGTGTGACTACTGAAAATTTCAGCAGTTACAGGTTTACCCGCATTTCAACATCCTTAGTGCACAGTAATACATATAATTCTTTCCTGAATCACTTAGAGCAGGGTTTCCCAACCTATGGGTCAGGATCCAAATATGGGTCACCATTATATTTCAAAAGGGTCGCCAGGTGTCTCCCCAGGTGGCTCCACCTTCCCTCCTCCCCATTTTTGAATTGCCTTGGGTCACCAAATCTTCCTGAATTGTCAAAATGGGTCCCCATCTGGAAAAGTTTGGGAACCGCTGACTTAGAGGATGAAAATTAAACAAAAAGGTCTCTACTAGAACAGAATGATATTCAGACCCTAAATAAACAAAATATTGTAATGAAACTAAACAAAATATTATAATGAAATCTAATTACATTAGAACCTCAGAATTACTAACACCTTGGGAATGGAGGTTGTTTGTGACTTTGAAATGTCTGTACCTCTGAACAAAACAATATGGTATTTTTTTCAAAAGTTTACAACTGAACATTAACTTAACACAGCTTTGATACTTTATTATCCAGAAGAAAAATGCTATTTTCCTTTTATTTTCTTTAGTAGTTTACGTTTAACATAGTACTGTACATCTTTTTGATTACTTGTTTCTGCTGGTGCCTGATTGCATAGTTATGTGTCTAAATGAGGTGTGTGGTTGACTGACCAGTTCATAACTCTAGTGTTCATAATTCAGAGGTTCTACAGTCTGGATGAAATAACAGAAATCAACATGTTAGCTGGGAATTCCCGTAACTGCATGCCTGAATCCTAAACACCGGGTCACATGTGGCTTGCTTATTTTGCTTATCCAAAATCCATGACAAATTTGTATTCTGAGAAGGAGGAGTTACTCACTACGTGCAGCAATGGTAGTTCTTCGAGATGTGTGTCCCTGTAGACGCTCCACTCTGGGTTCTGGTGCATCCTCACATTGGCAACCGGAGACTTTTCTAGCAGTTTCCGCCGCGCACGTGCCGTGGCACCCCCCTGTGTTGTTGGTGTCCGTTAGACACGCGCGCAGTGCGGTCCCTCTGTTCCTTCTCTACTCATGCTGTTAGAGCATGGGGCTCCAAAGCAGGGGAAAGAGGGAGGGTAGTGGAGCACCCACAAGGACACACATCTCAAAGAATTACCGTTACTGCACAAGGTGAGTAACTCCTTCTCCTTCGAGTGGTGTCCCCCCCCCGGGTGCTCCACTCTGGGTGACTACACAGCAGTTGTTGGCCCGTGGAGGTGGGTTTGGAGCCCTGCGTTGGTTACTGAGGATAGTACTACATGTCCTGCTGCCATAGATGATGCAATGGAAGAGGAGAGAGTGTAATGCTGTGCAAATCTATGGTCTAATGACCACATGGTGGCGTTACAGAGGTCCTGAAGGGGAACATTGCTGAGGAAAGTCATAGTGGAAGACACTGCCCTGGTGGAATAAGCTTTGATGACTCCGTGTAGGTACTTATTATGGAGGGTATAGCATGTGTGGATACATAAGGAAATCCACTTAGATTCTCTGTGAAGAGACTGCTTGTTCCTGGGATCGTTCTGCATAAGACAGGAAGAGCCTAGGGGATGTTTGCCAGGCTTTTGTCCGGTAGATGTAGAATGCAAGTGCTCTGCGGACATCGAGGGTGTGCCAGGCAACGTCCATGGGATCAGCATGCATCTTGGGAAAAAAAGGCAGGTAAGTATATGGGTTCGTTGATGTGGAAGGGGGAAGAACTTTGGAGAGGAACTTAGGGTGGGGTCAGAGTGTAACTCTGTCCTTGGTGAATACTGTGTACAGCGTATCTGCCATCAGGACGGTGAGCTCGCTCACTCTCATGCTAGAGGTTATTGCGACCAGAAAGGAGACGGTCATCGATAGGTATGACCAGGAGCAAGTCGCTAGCGGCTCAAAGGATGGTTTTGTCAAGCTCTTAAGTACGTGAGTCAGGTCCCAGATAGGAACTGGTCGACGAACGGGTGGAAAAGAATTTTGTAGACCTTTAAGGAATCTCCTGGTGATCAGATTGGCGAGGAAAGAAGCACCTTCTTCGGTGCGATGGAAAGCTGCTATGGAAGCTGCATGTACTCGGATAGTATTACGAGTGAGGCCCGATTGCTTAAGGTGTAAAAAAGGTCTAGTAGGAGGGGGAGAGGGACAGTCTCTGGGGATGTAGTGTGAGATCGTTTGAGCCAGTGGGAGAATCTCTTCCATTTGTAAAGGTACATTTTCCTGGTGGATTGTCTCCTACTGTTGATCAGTATTTCCTTCACTCTTTCTGAACAAGTGTTTTTGGCATTTTGGAACCATGAAGGAGCCAGGCGTGGAGGTGAAGTTTGTGGGGTTCTGGATGGAGATTCTTCCCATGATTCTGGGAGAGGAGGTTGCGCTGAGGCAGGAAGGCACATGGATCTGCGATTGTCATTCTGTGGAGATAAGGATTCCATGTTTGCCTGGAACACTCTGGTGAAATAAGTATCACTCGAGCTTGGTCTCTTCTGATCTTGCTGATGACCTTGTGGAGATTGGAAAGGGTGGGAATGCATAGAGGAGGTGTGCATCCCACCTGATGGAGAAAGCTGCTCTGGAACAATAAAGGTGACACTTCCGGATGTTTCTGGTGGCAAAGAGGTCTATGTCTGGCTGACCCCATTGGCGAAATACGTGATTAAGTGCATGCTTGTCTAACTCCCATTCGTGCTGGTTGTAAAACCTGTGACTTAGGGCATCTACCACAACCCTGAGTACCCCAGTACACCTGGAAGGTAAGACGCAATCGGGGTAACCTGGTGAGTCAGGCACCAATTCCATAAGTTGAGGGCCTCCACACATAGGGACAGGGATCGTGCACCTCCCTGCCGATTGATGCAATACATGCACGTGGTTTTGTCTGTCATTACGGTGATGAACTTGCGGACTATATGGGGTAGGAAATGTTGGCATGCATAACTGTACCACTCGTAGTTCTAGAAGGTTGACATGAAACATTTGCTCTGTACAGGACCATTTGCCTTGGGCTGTGATGGTTCCCAAATGGGCTCCCCAACCAAGGACTGATGCATCGGTCTTCAAAGTAAGTGTGGGGGTAGGTTGTTGGAATGGCACTCCAGCTAGCACATTGTGTGGATTCATCCACCACTGAAGGGAGTTGAGGACCCATGGTGGAATGGTAACTAGCTTAGAGAGAGAGTCTCTGGATGGCATGTAGGTTGTGGCTAGCCAAGACTGTAGGCATCTCATGTGGAGCCTTTCTAGCCTGACAACGAACACTATGGATGCCATGTGTCTGAGAAATTTCAGCCATTTGCGAACTGTAATGGCCGGGGTCACCTGTGCCACTGCGATGAGGTTGCACAGGGAATCAAACCTTTGTGCGGGTAGCGTAGCCTTTGCCACCACAGTGTTGATGAGAGCTCCTATAAACTCCAACCTCTGCATTGAGTGGAGCGTGGACTTAACATAGTTCATGTGAAACCCAAGATTGAGCAGGAAGTTCGTAGCAGTACTGATCCTGCTCTTCGTTTCTTGGAAAGACACACCCTTTATCAGGCAATCATCTAAGTATGGAAATATCATGATCCCGTGACACCATAGTGAGGCCATTACAACTGACAGAGTTTTGGAGAACACTCTGAGGGCCGTTGAAAGGCCAAAGGGGAGCACTCTATATTGGTAATATTGGTGGCACACTATGAATCGTAAAAAGCGTCTGTGTGCGGGATGAATTGTAATGTGGAAGTACACATCCTGGAGGCTGAGAGCTGAAAGCCAGTCTCCTTGATCTAATGAAGGGATTATTGTTGCCACGGTCACCATCTTGAATCAGTGGTAAGCGATGTATTTGTTGAGTTTTCTTAAATCCAGTATAGGCCTCCATCCTCCACTCCTTTTCTGCATTAGGAAATAGGTTGAGTAAAGCCCTCGACCCTGAAACTCTGTTGGTTCCTGTTCTGTGGCACCCAATCGTAGGAGATGAAGCACCTCTTGCTCGAAGAGGGTCTCGTGAGAGGGGTCCCTGAAAAGGGACGGGGTGGAAGGGTGGGTGGGAGGCAGAAAGGTAAAGGGGATGGCACAGCCATGTTGAATGAGTTCTAAGACCCATTTGTCCGATGTTATTTGAGCCCACTGCTGAAAAAAGGGCGGAGACGGTGGTTGAATTGTGGGTAGTTTGTTGGTAATGTGATTGTAAGTGAGGTGGCTTTGGCTTTTTGGCTCTAGACCAAATCTTCAAATCTGTTGTTTGGATGTCAGTGGTTGGGTAGATGCCAAGTGTAGTTGCTGCTGGCACTGTGGTCTGCGATGTGGTCTTTGTTTTTGGTGGAAGTCATACCTGGGTTGTTGTCTGTATGGCTCTCTTGGTCTTTGGTAGTTGTTATACCTGGTTCTTTTAAATGGGGGAGTATATTCTCAGGATGCGGGAGTCCTTCTTGGAATGCAGTACTTCATCCATTTTTGCAGCGAATAGATTAGTTTTATCGAAGGGTAAATCCTCGACTTTCTGCTGTAGTTCTCTCGGGACCCCAGATGCCAGGAGCCATGATATTCTACACATCACAACAGTTGATGTTGTGATCCATGCCACCTTATCCACTACATCCATTGCGGACTGAAGGGTGGTACGAGAAACTGTATGGTCCTCTTGCATGATGCTGAGAAGTACCGGTCTTTTGTGCTCTGGTAGGTGCTGCGTAAGCTCTTGCAGTTTTGAGTAGCTGGAATGGTCACAGTCTGTGACAGCGGTGTAATTTGCTGCTCTGAGGAGCAAGGTAGCAGAGGAGTATACTTTATGATACATAATGTCAATTTTCTTATTATCCTTGTCGTATGCTGTCGACCTGATGTTAGGCTGTCTGGGTTTGTGTCTGACCGAATCAACTACCAGTGAATTTGGTGGGGGATAAGTAAAAAGGAAGTCCATTCTTTTTGGTGGAATAAAATATTTGTGGTCAGCTCTTTTGTTGGTTGGAGTAATGGAAGTGGGGGTCTGCCAAATGGTATCTGCTGGGTCCATAATAGCTTCGTCCAGAGGGAGTAGTATTCTGAAAGTGTTAGGAAGCTGTAGTGTTCACAGAAGGCGGTACTGTTTTTCCTGTACCTCTTGTAGGTCACGCTCCTATGCCAGAGCTACTCTTTTAAAAAGATCTTGCAACTTTTTAGAGTCATTCCCTGATGGTGGGGTATTGGTGGGGACCTGTCCTCGCCATCTGACAGAGAGTCCTCTACGTCAGAATGAGCAGGGGAATTAGGTTCTGTAGCTGAAGTCATAAGTTGAAGGGAAGCAGGTGGTGGTCTGGATAGTGTGGAAGGAGCAGCGTGGTGCCTCTCCTTAGGGGGATGTGAGCCCCATCCTGGTTGCCACTGTCCAGCGTATGGCAGTGGCGGGTAGTTGTAATGTTGCACATACCATGGTAGGGGTGGTGGCGGTGGCAGGTACAAAAATCTTGCCCAGGCTGCCAAGGAGGAGGTCTGTGGGCAAGGCTGGAATGTTGGGAGGAGAATCTACTCCGAGGGTCGGTGCCTACTTCGCATGGGGCACGTGAGCGGTTATATGATCTACGTGAGCGCACCTACTATATGGAGGATCCTGGTGATATCGGTGCCATTGGCGTGTGACTCCTGGCTGGAGATTCAGGTTGTGAGTGCTCGAGACGGTGCCAAGGTCTGAGGTTTGCTCGGTGCCAATGGTGTTGGCGGTGCTGTCTGACCTGGAGATGGCATCTCGGCATGGGGCCTCTTAGGCAACAATGCAGATGCCAACTGAAGATATCTCGGTGCCGAGTGGTCCCTATGGTCCCCTTGCAGTGTGGTTGGTACCAACAGTGCCACTTGCCTTTGCTTGGGCTCTGAGTGTGCTCTTTTATGCAGTACCGACATCTTGGACTGTGCTGTGCCCCATGTGCCAGGCCTATCCACGTTGCTGACCCTTGTGGCTGTCAGTGCCAAGGGTAAAGATCGGGCTGGAGACAGATCTGTTTTTGAGACAGCGCGCCAGAAGAAGTAGAGGGATGAATTATGTCCATACCTTTCGGCTGGGAAACAGATTTTGGGCCTGCTGGGGTGTCCTCTGAAGACGGTTGGAGAGACTTCTCATACAATAAGGTCTTCAGCCTATTGGCTCAGTCACGGCATGCTCTGGCAGTCAATTTTGAGCATTTTTGTGTCTGGCGTGACTCCCCAAGGCACTTTACATACTTGGAGTGCCTGTCAGAAGCAGGCATAGCATCCCAGCACGACTTACAGCTTTTGAAGCTGGGGTATCCCAGCAAGAGGCACGGTGAAAGCGGCAGGCCGCGAAGAAAAAAAATTGGGGGGAATAGATACTGGAGCAGAGTAGGGGCCTAAAACTTGGAAAAGTGAGGTAACTGAGGGCAATAACAGGTTTTTCTGCTGGTTGGTTTTTTTTGGGGGGGCGGGGGGATAGGAAGGTGGAGAGAGATAGGCTCTATCTGCTGCCGAGGACAGCAGAGAAGGAATTGAGGGACCGCACCCCATGCACGCGCCTAACAAACACCAATGACACAAGGGGGCACCATGGCACGTGCACGGCAGAAACTGCTACAAAAGTCTCCAGTCACCGGCATGAAGAGCACCAGCACCCAGAGCGGAGTACCCACGGAAACACCACTCAAAGGAGAATTAAAGTTTTCTGTTTTTCCTTTACAAACCTGAGTTTCTAGCCACTACTATTAAGACATTGAATGTCAACTGATGCAGCACTGTATTAGTATAAAAGTACTAATACCCTCAGTCATGCTTTTTTATAAAAAAATGTTCAGTTTGCCTTACAAGCAAAAGTATTAAATTATGATGAACTCTAACAAATATTTCAGCAATTACCTGTATATTAAAGTGATCAAGTATTGCAGTGAGTTCTTCTTTCTTAGAAGAAATTAATGTCCCTAAAGGCATAAAATGAAATAAAAAGCTCACATCAGTTTATATTCAAAATTATAGGTAATTACAAAAAATATCCTGCTATACTAAATGAACCACTATATTCAGAATCTTTGTACAAAATATGCCTTGTGAGACAGCACCTGAAAACTAATAGCTCACTAGTCAAAAATAAGACACTGAAACATATATGGCAACATTGTATATTTGAACTGAAAATATGACTGAAATGTGCAACCAGACAGGTCAGGCGAGTGGCAATCAGTTTCTCAAAACAAAAGACAACCTGCCATCTCTGGTCAGGTGTCAAATTTGATTAGCAATAACCTGTCAAGTTGCCATTTTTTGGTAATGCAGCGGAACAGGAAGAGAACAATATACATTTCAACAAACAATATGGATGCTCTTTCACTAAGAGCAGGAGTGGGGAACCTCAGGCCTGGGGGCCAGATTCAGCCTGGAGGCTCAGGGCTTCCCCCAACACTGGGGAGCCCGTGCTGATTTTCTGGCCCCACAGCTGCCTCCCTATGGGTCTGGAGCACAGAAAATCTACTAGCCTGGGCCCCCTAGTCTCTAATTTGTGAGGGGAATGTCTTTCTCCTTCTCACTCAGGGGCCATGTCAGTGAGGGTGGGTTTGTTTGTTTTTTTGCTTCTCACTTGTGTGTGGCCCTTGACTGATTTTTCTGTGGGTCAGTGGCCCCCAACCCAATAAAGGTTCCCCACCCCGATCAAGACTTCTATGTCTCTGTCCTCAGAGTGGAAAGGAACTTTATCTAGGGGTAATGCTCAATAAATGCATTTCATAGAGTGACCAGATTACAAAAATGAGGAGTATACCCCTTCCTCTGCTTCCCTCAGGACCCTGCCCACTCTTTTATTTAAGTTGACAAAGGACCCAGCTTTTGGGAGGGGTTCAGACCTGAAATTTCGGTGGGCTATGTTGCTGAGAACCTGTGATAAGGATTAAGGATGTAAGAAGTTGGTTAAAAAGGTAACCACATAACTCCTAAGATTTTTAGCAGTTACATGCTCAGGCTCTGCAGCATAAAGCTTATTTAAGCTTTATGCTGCAGAGCCTGCAATGAAGCCTCCCTATGAGTAGAGATGCCAGCTTCTGCTGGCCCCACTCCCAAGGAGGTAGCTTCCCTGCTGCAGCGAAGCCACCTCCCCAGAAGCCAGGCTGGCAGGGGCTGCTGGCCCCGCTCCTGGGGAGGTTTCGCTGTGGGATCTGCAGCTGGGACAGAGCCTTCCAGCTTCTAAAACTGCAAAAGGGGGGTGATATGGGGGGAGGGAGGCTGGGGAGAGGGGTATTTATGGAGCTGACTGCCCAAGTGGGCAGAATTTAACTGATAATATTAACCAATAAGCACCACCTTATCTCCTAGAGTTTAACCTTAGCTCCTAACAGGTTAAAACTCTAACAACCCTAGAAGGGTTGGAACAATGTTTAGTTTAAGTCTTAGTTACTACTAGTCCCTTGTTTTATCTGTGTTTCCTTTGTAATAATTTCTGACTAACATCTTATACTTGTACTGTCTTCAAACAACTTTGTGCAGTTAAAGTATAAAGCAAGTTTATTTAATCAAAACTGATCTACTGATTTGGTTCAAATGAATTGTTTGGGTAACTCCAGTTAAAAATCAAACTGCCCCTTACAAGAGCAACAAACCTCTGATATTTGAACCATCCAGGAGAGGACTACACAATGCAGAACAAATGTTTTTGTGAAAATTCATGACTGGGAATGTGTTGAGGTCTCCCTGCAAGCGGCAACCAAGGATGGAGTGCAGTGCAGCTAGCAAGCAACAGTTATACTGACACTCAGGATGTGACCCACAGTGGTTGCTGGCCCCACATACAGGGACTATAGAATAGTTGAGTAACCAATAAGAATTCATGAGGTTAATTAACTATTCAATTAACCAATATTTAACATCCCCAGTTCATTGCCTCATGGGAAGTACCCAATCCTTCACAAACAAATGAAAGACAGCATAGATATGAAAGTATTTTATAAAAATGAAAATATAGTATTGCCAAACCTGTTTTGCTTTTGAGTTTATAACTACGACTTCCATCCATGTTAATGTGTTGATTCACAGTAATAGAACTGCCATATACATCTGGTTTAAATGCATCTTTACCTCGGTTTCTTAATGTTATTGAAACATCTGCAGAACTAAAATAAATATTAACTTCAAAAGGAGTTTGAGGCATTCAAGATAAATAAATATACCTTTCAACAATAGATTTTCAACTCCTGTTTAGGCCACAAGCAACAGACGTGGCAGGGGAAAAATTTCCCCGCTGGTCTTCCGTCCGAGAAAAAAAGAAAATACTGGACATTTTGCATGTCCAGTATCATCATCATCATCTTTTTTTTTTTTTTAAACTGGACAGAAGACACAATTACCGGACTGTCCCGGTAAAACCCAGACTCCTGGCAACCCTAGTACAGGATCATTATGGCTCCTACTACATTTAAAATGCAGAGCCACAGTGATCCAGAGCTGGCACAAGCCAGGACTGCTCAGTCCTGGCTCACGTCGGCTCCAGGAGCTACCCCCGCCACAAATCTGCAGAGCAGCCCTTATAAAGTAATTGTGTAGTTGATACAAATTCTATCAACTACTTGATTAACCAAATAACCACTCTAACATTCTTATATCAGAGGCAGCAATGCGGGGGAAGGCAGCTCCGCGGAAGCTGGCATGTGCGGAGAGCCAACTCCTCACATGCACCAGCTCCCGCCTCCAACCTTGCTAACTTGCTACAGAGGTAGCAAAGGGAGAGGGTGCATGTAGTCATTAAGATTAACTGATAATACCAGGCTTATCAATTTATCATTCAAATGACTACATGCTAACATCCCTAGTATCATTGTAAAACATAACACATTACTTAAAGCCTTTTCAAATGTTAATAGAAAATCTAAATATATGTAAAAGCATAGGCTGCAGACTGGCAATGATGTAGGAATTGTAGTGATTACATTTCAAATTAATTTAAAAAACATAGTAATTTCAGATATCACGCTGAAGTCTAACCTGCTAATTTTTGTTATTTTAAAACCACATATTTCTATACTTTTAAAAATGTTTTTTATCCTGATGTTCTATAAAAGGCCAAATAAAGCAAAAAGGAAAACTAAGAACTTTAACTTAGTGGACCAAACTAACTTTAACATCAAACTAACTTCTGAAACTCATGTATACACAGTTTCACTTACGTCTGTCCATCTTTCACAAATACTTTCAAAGAAGATCCTCTGTTAGTTGTGGTAGCTTTTCCCCCCAGGCCAACAATAAGAGCAGTTAATACAGCACTCTTCCCACCTGAAAAAGCAAATAAACAGTTGTTATAAAACAGTTCTGTCTTCTATCTACACAGTTCAATTACAGAGTATATAATTTTAGCCAAACTTGCACATCTCAGTAAGACTAATAAAACTGAAAATAAACTTCAAGAATATTTATTGTAAAAGACATGATATGCATACACACCACTCATTCCAAGTGGGCAAAATATTGACTGCTTTTCCTGTTTTTATTCCATTAAAAGCTTTCAGAGCTCAGTATTGACAGATGGCAGAACAAGGAGCAATGGTCTCAAGTTACAGTGGGGGAGGTCTAGATTGGATATTAGGAAAAACTATTTCACTAGAAGGGTGGTGAACTAATGGGTTACCTAGGGAGGTGATGGAATCTCCGTCCGTAGAGGTTTTTAAGTCTCATCTTAACAAAACCCTGGCTCGGATGATTTAGTTGGGATTGGCCCTGCTTTGGGCTGGGGGCTGGACTCAATGACCTCATGACGTCTCTTCCAGCCCTATGATTCTATGAATTTATTCACATTGAGTTGAAAAGAATCTCTCTAATTTTGTCTCCCAACATTAATAAGTAACGTAAAGTTCAAGTAGTCAATCTCCAGAATTGGGAAAGTACTGGAGGTGTTCCTATATTTTTTTTCAAAATCATAGTAAAAGATTTTACAGAACAACAACAAATTTTCAAAGATCATCATTTTAAGTACACGACACCCTCCGTACTCTGGGAATGGCAGCAGAATGACATGCTCTGCCCAGGATTTCCCCCTGCTATTCCCATAGCGGCAAGGGGCAGTGCCTGGGAGCAGCAGGGAATGTAGTGTACCAGGTAAGTGCCGTACCAGCATTCCCCCTCACTCTCCTGCTGGCCCAGCAAAATCTTTAATCTGGCAAAACCTGTTTATCAGCATTGCTGGATTGAAGAGGTTCAAGTTATATGAGATTTTTCTGCAATCCAAACATTGCAGTGCTACTCTAGTACAGCGCACACAGAGCAAAAGTGATTTGAAATGCGTGCAGAGGTGAATAGTTTTTATGTTTGTCCAAGTGAAATGCACAAGACAATTTTGAATGTTTAATTTAACACCAGTCATTTAAATTATACCTTACTCAAGAACTGATTAGAAAAAAATAATGAATTTTAACCCAATGAAGATAAAAAATATGCTTAAGAATTATTTTCTTAATATTTAAGAGTTTAGTTCATACTTTTTACTTTAACCACAATGCAATTTTTAGAGAACAATAATTAAGACAATGCACGCACCAGATAAAGTTCTCAGTTTTTGTAAATTTCAGATTTATTCTGAAAATAGTGAGCTGACCAATTGTGTAGCATTTTTTGTATTATAACAATTCTTTTGTCCACTTGAAGAAGGTAAACATAAAATATGTCGTGTTCTATACATGTAAGAACACTTATTTTAGGGCATACTTGACATACTTTTGAAATGAGTTCCATAGACTCAAAGAACAGTAGGACTGGAAAGAAAGGTCCTTGAGAGGTCATCTAACTCAGTCCCCTGCACTCATAGTAGTACTAAGGATTATCTCTAGAACAGTGATGGGCAACCTGTGGTTCATTAGGATAGTGCTCTGGCGGGCTGCAAGACATTTTATTTACAGGCTGTCTTCACTGCAAGTCCAAGATACATTCCAAAAATCTTGGACTTCTAGCAAAACAACTTAAAGCAGGTAATTTTTTCCCCATCGCTGACTTCTATTTGTGCAAATCGTGACTTAAGAGTGGCGAATTGGAGGACTTATAACATCAGTTCCTACAAGAGTCAATGTCTTTAGTGCGGAATGGATGTATACTAGGGTTACTTATAGCAGGGACACCCTGTACATTGATAGTTCACAGGCACTCCCCCACTAGCTGAGAGTTGCCATTCCTGGCCAATGAGAGATGCAGGAAGCAGCATGGGTATGGGCACTCAGCTTGGTCAACCAATCAAAGAAGGCCAGAATCTGTATATAATGCCAGCTGAGACAAACTTGGTGTGGTGTGGGAGACAAAGTGACGAGAGAACTAGAAGATAGGAGAAGACAACAAGCAGCCAAGTAGAAGATCAAGGAGAGCAGAAGATTGGAAAGCAAAGTAGAAAAAAAGAAGAAAAAGCAAGACGTAGCAGCAGTATACACGGGATCTAGTAGACAGATCAGACGGACTTATATAAGTCACAGGGAACTGAAAGATCAAATGTTAAGACGGTCTTTCCTGTTTTATTTAAAGTATGCTTGGGTATGCTTCTAAATAAGGTTAGATACCTACAGCTCTGAGTGATTCATCCTCCATTCTGTGATTATCTGGCCAGCAACTCACAGAAAGTTAGTGTGTTGAGGTAAATGCTTTTTCAATATGTAATACAGGCAGTCCCCGGGTTACATGGATCCAACTTACATCGGATCCCTACTTACAAACGGGGTGAGGTAACCCCGCACTAGCTGCTTCCCCCCAGCAGACCAGGGAGACGCGAAGCTAGCGCCCCCCCCACCCCGCCCCCGCCCAGCAGACCAAGGAGAGACAGAGCGGCTTCTCTCAGCAGACACCTCAGCTTGAGAATAAAGGACTGAGGGAAGTGAGGTGTGGGAGAATAAAACTGAGCTCTGGAGAAATGTTTGGCTAGAGTTTCCCCTACAATATGTACCAGTTCCGACTTACATACAAATTCAACTTAAGAACAAACTTACAGCCCCTATCTTGTACGTAACCCGGGGACTGCCTGTATTGTAACATTCTTCCATAACTATATGAGTTCTGAAGGTCACATAATTACAAAATCAGTGTTATACTGGAACAGTGAGCTAAAGCTCTATATGTATATGAAAGCTCTCTACTTATGTATTGTAACTGCATTAGCCTGTGTCCCTCAATTTATTCTACTGTATAATGCCACTTATGCACTTTTGTATTATGCTGACATACATGCGGTAATTTGTATGGTCTTATGCACATGTATCAAAGGGTCAGTGGGTATCAATATTGCAATATTGTAACAAAACATATAACCAGTATTTACTCTAATGAGCTGCTTTAACCATCTGACCTATACATATAATACTAAAAGATTTACCTAGTGTTGCGCGTGTCCTTAACTCAAATACATTTTGTTTTACCTTCATGTAAATTATTGTTCTGCAGTGGGGTTGAGGATGGAGGGTACAATATGAAGGTTGTTCTGCGGAAGAGAGGACTACCCAAACTCTCTCTCACCACAGCAGCTTAGGGCTAGGCGAGAAGTGCCTGTCCAGAGCCACTGAAACTGCAATGGGCACAACTTGGGGAAAGGTGCACATACCCTGGTTGGGGGACAGACACAGACACCTAAACAAACTCTCTGAAATATATTAGATAGCTGTCCCTATCTCCACCCCTAGCCCGATCCCCCTCAAAATTTAGAAGGAACTTCAGATTCTTAAACCTTGAGTCAAGTGCCTTAGAAATCTCACATTGTTATCTTCTCTGCATCTTGTCAAATGTGCAGTGAAAATGTTCTTAAAATGAATAATATGTGCTGAATGATCATTGAGATTACTGTACCATGAATCATACGGCAGAATGTGAGTAAATCAGAGTCCGAGACAAACACAATTCTCTCTCAAGAAGTTCATGCACAAAATTTAGTTAACACATTTTTAGTGAACTTCATCAGCATGGAAGCCTGTCCCCTGGAATGGGGGCCAAAGCATGAAGCTGCATATGAATGTTTAGCACATCTGGCACAAATATCTTAAAATGCCAGCTACAAAGGTCCCACGTGAACGCCTGTTCTCACTTTCTGGTGGTACTGTAAATAAGAAGTGGGAAGCATTATCTCCCAGAAATGTAAACAAACTTGTCTGTCGTTGTGATTGGCTGAACAAGAAGTGGGACTGAGTGGGACTTGTAGGCTCTAAACTCTTGCACTGTTCTGTTTTTAAATCCAGTTATATTTAAAAAAAAAATCTACATTTGTAAGCTGCACTTTCACTATAAAGAAACTGATATTTTATTAGCAGTGCAATAAAACCTGCAATTAATCCTTATTAATATCTTATCATAATTACAGTTAACAGCCCTATTATTGTACTAAGTTGTACACAAATAGAAGACAATACCAGTAATAATACCAAGTGGGTGGAGCTCAGTCTCATCCCTACATCTAATAAAACTACAAAAGCCCTGCACTTTAGGTACTGCCTGAAAGCAGCAAACAATCCAATTCACATATGACGATGAAAAACTAAATCAAAAGGAATCAATATTACTCACACCTGTATATTGCTCCCACACATCACCACTAATCTCAAAACCTATAAAACAAACAACCCCATGAATCCTCGAGACCAGGTCTACTCAACTTTGGAAGCCCAGGGAGCCACAATAATATTCCCAGAACGTCCTGAGGGCCACAACTTAAGTGTGGCTGCATATACATTCAAGTATACATGCAAATAGTTCTTTTCACACTCACAGGCATAAATACAAAGATTAAGGGCAAGGTAACAAAACATGCAGGACCCATTTAAGACAGTTCCGCTGATATTAATAAAATGCAATATTTACCCGATTTCCACCCATATGACAGCACTTTTAATGAGCAATGACAGTCTCAGAATTTTACTACTAAAATGTATATCAACAGAAGACCATTATATTGACTCGCCGTTGTGGAGCATGTTCCCAGTAGAAGCCATGTTCAAAAGATCCCACCTGCGAGCCGCATGTTGAGCCCCACGTAAACCCAAACTGCACCACGAGCCGCAAACAAACGGGCCGTGGGTTGAGTAGCCCTGCTCTAAACACTAGATCAGCACCTAAACTCACATAATCACCCTTTATTTTAAAAATAAAGTCCTCCTGATACACAATTATTATGCTAATAGACCATCTCACCATGGTACAGAGTGCAAAGTTAGGACAGACATTTAACCAATGTAGAAGATTTTTCTTAGGTAGAATTGGATAACTGAGAGACAAATGACAGTTTAAACCCAGAGGGCAGAGACACTGATATGTTAACGGTGCAACAGAAGATAAGACATTTCCACAAATTATCAAATAAGAGAAGGCTTTCTATGAAAATATGGTGAAGAAAATTAGCAACAGCCTAACTCTGGGTGAAAGTAGAACAATCAAAGAGATAATCACACTAGGGAGAAGCAGTAACAGGGAACTTGGAAATGGCGGAGATGCTCAATGACTTCTTTGTTTCGGTCTTCACCGAGAAGTCTGGAGGTGTGCCTAACGTAGTGAATACAAGCAGAGAGAGGGTAAGTTTAGAAGATAGGATACACAAAGAACAAGTTAAAAATCACTTAGGAAAGTTAGATGTCAGCAAGTCACCAGGTCCTGATGAAATGCATCCCAGGATACTCAAGGAGCTGATAGAGGAGGTATCTGAGCCTTTAGCTATGATCTTTGAAAAATCATGGCAGACAGGGGAGATTCCAGAAGACTGGAAAAGGGCAAATATTGTGCCCATCTATAAAAAGGGGAATAAGAACAACCCAGGAAATTATAGACCGGTCAGTTTAACGTCTGTCCCAGGGAAGATAATGGAGCAGGTAATTAAGGAAATCATATGCAAACACTTGGAAGGTAATAAAGTGATAGGGAATAGCCAGCATGGGTTTGTGAAGAACAAGTCATGCCAAACTAATCTGATAGCTTTCTTTGATAAGATAACGAGCCTTGTGGATAAGGGAGAAGCGGTGGATGTCATATACCTAGACTTTAGTAAGGCATTTGATACGGTCTCGCATGATATTCTTATTGATAAACTAGGCAAATATAACTTAGATAGGGCCACGATAAGGTGGGTGCATAATTGGCTGGATAACCGTAGTCAGAGAGTTGTTGTTAACGGTTCTAAATCCTGCTGGAAAGGGATAACAAGTGGAGTTCCTCAAGGGTCTGTTTTGGGACCCGTACTGTTCAATATCTTCATCAATGATGTAGATATTGGGATAGAGAGTACTCTTATTAAGTTTGCAGATGATACCAAACTGGGTGGGGTTGCAACTTCTTTGGAGGATAGGGACATAATTCAAAATGACCTTAGCAAGTTAGAGAAATGGTCGGAGGTAAACAGGATGAGGTTTAATAAGGAGAAATGCAGAGTGCTCCACTTAGGAAGGAACAATCAGTTCCATACATACAAGATGGGAAGCGACTGTCTAGGAAGGAGCATGGCGGAAAGGGATCTAGGGGTCATAGTGGACCACAAGTTGAATATGAGTCAACAGTGTGATGCTGTTGCAAAAAAAGCAAATATGATTTTAGGTTGTATCAACAGGTGTGTTGTAAGCAAAACTCGTGAAGTCATTCTGCCGCTCTATTCTGCACTAGTTAGGCCTCAGCTGGAGTACTGTGTCCAGTTCTGGGCGCCACATTTCAAGAAAGATGTGGAGAAATTGGAAAGGGTACAGAGAAGAGTGACAAGAATGATTAAAGGTCTAGAGAAGCCTATGAAGCCAGGCTTCATGAACTGGGCTTGTTTAGTTTGGAAAAAAGAAGATTAAGGGGGGACATGATAGTGGTTTTCAAATATCTAAAAGGGTGTCACAAGGAGGAAGGTGAAAATTTGTTCCTCTTGGTTTCTGAGGACAGGACATGGAGTAATGGGCTTAAAGTGCAGCAGGGGAGGTTTAGATTGGACATTAGGAAAAAATTCCTAACTGTCAGGGTGGTCAAATATTGGAATAAATTGCCAAGGGAGGTGGTGGAATCTCCCTCTCTGGAGATATTTAAGAACAGGTTAGATAGACATCTGTCAGGGATGGTGTAGACGGAGCTTGGTCCTGCCTTGAAGGCGGGGGGCTGGACTCGATGACCTCTCGAGGTCCCTTCCAGTCCTATGATTCTATAAAAACTTACAGCAGATCCAGAATGGATAACAAAACTCCAAACAGGCTATGAAGCCAGATCCACGGCAGAATGCACAAGTATCTGACAGATTCAGAAAGATTCTTTCTTGAGCTTTGATAACATTTATTGAGCTGGCAAATGATGCAAAGTAGGGATAGAAGCAAGTAGTTGACTACTCAACTAGCCAATAAGCATAAGCAACTACTCACTTCCCCTGTTTGAGAGGGAGCAAGCAGAGGGGAGGAACAGGCACTGGTGCTGGGGGGAACGAGCTTAAAATCCAGTTCCCCAAAGAACCGTCTCTGCAGTGCCACCTGCCGCCCCTCCTGCCCCTCCACCGGGATAGGGGAGGCTGCTCCAGAAGCAGCCCCTATCTGCCAGTGTCCCAGTGGGGAGCTGCCCCACTCCCTACCACGGACAGGGATTGCTGCAGCCAAGCAGCACCCATTCAAGGAAGCTACTGAGCCAAATAGCTCCTGTTCGTGGCAGCCTGGGCTGGCCACGGGCAGCAGCGGTCCCTGTCCACATCCAGCCCAGGCCACAGCCAAAACACGTACGGGACTGCTTCGCCTCTGCATTTTAAATGTAGCAAGAGCCACCAGGCTCTTATTACATTTAAAATGTAGAACCACAGAAGTCCAAAGTCAGCGCAAGCCAGGACTGCTCAGTCCCAGCTCAAGCCAGATCCTGGAGCTAATCCCCACGGCAGCAGCCCCCTTATTGACTCATCATGTAGTCAATACAAATTGTATGAACTACATAATTAGGCAAATAACTGCTCTTTAACATCCTTAGTACGAAGTACTAATAAACAAACACGAACAGAAAGCTGCAAATACACTTTATTTACTGCACTTCACCCTGTAAAAATATCATGTTATTTCTTTAAAAACAATAGAAAGATAGTATTACATATTAATTTAAAATATTACTATTATATGCTAGTAAAATTTGTCTGAAAGCTAAGAAACACATATACAAAAAAGAACGTTAATCAAAACTAATTTTGAGTTGTTTTGAAATCACCATATAACAAGTAACCATTAATCAATATTACACTGTATGACTAAATTAAAAACACAACATACAGTCACCTCTCTATTTGTCTTAGGGATAAACAGGATAATGAAAAAGCAGATGTATGTATAAATAATTGTTTAATTTTTCTGTAGTTAAAGAGACTTTTCAATTAACTTTGGCTCTAAATATTTAGAAAAATACAGTAAACTTCCGATAATCCGGCCCCATTAGGACCCAGGGCAGCTGGCCCATTGACCCAAGACGCAGAGTTAGGTTGTCTCTCCAGCTGCTCCCGTCCACATGGTGCAAGAGAGCTGAGCTGAGCGGAAGGATAAGATGGTGGTAATGACCTAGACTGGGGTGGGGAATCTTTTTTGGGTTGGGGGCCACTGATCCACAGAAAAATCAATTGGGGGCAGCACACAATTGAGAAGTAAAAATAAAAACCTAAATACAGTAAACTTCCGGTAATCCGGCACCTTTAGGACCCAGAGGGTGCCGGATTATCGGATATGCCGGACTATCGGAAGGGGGGGGGCTATGAGGGGTCTGGGGTGGGGGGATGCCACCCCAAATCCCTCATGGCCCCCCTTCCAATAGTCCAGCTGTGCCCCAGGCATCCCTGATTCAGCCACTGCTGGTCAGTTTCAACAGTGGGTGAATCGGAGATGCCTGCGGCAGAACATCTGGGGCGCTGCCAGGCTGGTCCAGTAGCGCCCCCCCCCCG